GATGGGTGACCCAAGTGGGGAATTTTTTTATGCGAAAAACCCAGAGCCAGCTTCGCTTCTTCTGTGCCTGTATGGATCTATCAGTAAAGTTATACTCTTGGTAAAATAACGTCCCAGGAGTTTCTTTTGCTCCATATGCCAACAGGACAGTTGACAGCACCTTTAAGACTTGTGGACTTCAACTCCCAGAATTCCCCACCCCGAGCTAGAATAACAGAATAATTGCAAATCTGACTGTGTTATACCTCCTCTTCCATATATTTCATTGAATTAGGGAGGTGCTCCCATATGATATCTGGATCTTTTATTCTTAAAAATTCTTTCATCCCTTGTTGTCTTGGCAACAGAGCTTGCACATCAATGTCAAAGTCATCTTCCTTAGCCTATAATTATAGGCTCTAATCACCTTGGAACAGAAATCTAACTTTTTTACGATCACCAAGCCCACAGATGGAGCTTCTAGAATTCTGGTTCAGGTTTTTTTTTTGAGTGCCATAATGGTGGGTTTGGGTCTTACAAATGGAATAATTAGAGCAGTTACTTACAGGAGAGCCTCTTGGACCAGGTTGACCTCCCTCACCAGGGATACCTTGATTTCCCTAGAAAGAGAAATGCAAAATTGCCGATTCTGTGTTGCCTAAGAGGATAATCAAAATGTAACTTGTGATATGATGACAGCTTAAATGCATCACTAGAGATAGAGAAAGAGATATTGAACCAATAGTGGAGAGATACTTACAGGTACACCTGGTTCTCCTGAAGGACCAGACTCTCCCATTTCTCCAGGGCTTCCCTTTGGGAAAAAGAGGAAGGAAAAAAGAATGAATGAATGAATGAATGAATGAATGAATGAATGAAAAATGAATGAATGAATTGAAATAAAATGAATGAATGAGTTGAAGGAAAGTAAGTGAATGAATGAATGAATGAATGAATGAATGAATTGAATGAATATAAAATGAAGGAAGGAAAATGAATGAATGAACTGAAGGAATATAAAAATGAAGGAAGGAAAATGAATGAATGAATTGAAGGAAAATGAAAAATGAATGAATGCATCAATGAACTGAAGGAAAATGAATGCATGAATGAATTGATGGAGATGTTGAAATTGACTATTTTGGTTATTTTAAGATTTTGTTTAGATTCATTTTTAAACTAGAGATTATTTTTTATAATTTTGCTTTATAATAACGGATACGTAGTTTTGAATGAATGATTGATAAATAGATTTAAGATTGTAGAAATATTGTACATGTTGTTAAGCTTAGAGTTACATATCGGTTATGTTACGTTTAACCTACAATGAGGGATTACCTGATTATATATTTGTATCTGCATTGAGAAAAGTTGGAAGCTTTTCTTTTTTCATTTTTTTTGTTTATCTTGGCCAATAAAGAATTCCATTCTATTCTTGTTTTCTTTCTCTTTTCACATTTTACCCCTTTTGATTCCCTTTCCCCCTTTTTCGGTTATTTTGTATTTTATCTTGTTCTGAAATTTAATAAAGTTGTTTAAAATGGAAAAGGAAAAATCACCCACATGTCTCAAATCAGTTACTTTTTTTTCACCTACCTAGAAGACCCCAGGTATGGTGGAATCTCCAGCTAGACTGGAGGGCGGTGTCAAGAGGGGAATGAGCTTAGAATCCTTGCATTGCAGAAAGCGGCCCAAGCCTGACCTCCCACAGAATCCCTGAAGTTTTATCTGACTGTTCCCAAGGGAATGCAGACACTCTGGCGAAATTCTTGCAACATAGTTGACTAGTAATAAAGTTTCCGATTGAGACTATCCACGAGTGGTTCTCATTGCTTGCTTCTGACACTAGTGGATGTCTTTTCAAAGCTTCCATGTATCTCTTGAATTGATGAGTGGGCAATCTGAATCTCCAGAGCCATCTGTTGATTCCCTAAACCACTTTTATACATTCCTCCCAAGCAAGTTCCAACCACAACTGCTGAAAATCTGCGCCAGGGGTTCGCATTATGTTGAAGTGGGGATTAGAAGGAAAAAAGTAGTGTTAAGTATTAGCAAAAAATGAATTGTAAAAAAAACTGGGCACAAGCAAAATTTTCCAATTGCACCAATATTATTCAGCTCATTCCCACATGCAACATACCCCACTGACTTTTGCACTGTTGTTCTGACCCAGACCAGCCGGTGTTCTGTCTGGGTCAGAACAGTAAATTGATGTTGGATTTTCCCCTCTTCTGCCCAAGCGTCACATGGTGGGATGATTATGGGATCTCCAGCCGTGTGGCTGGATGCCATGAACAAGATGAACAAAGAGCCCCCATGTGGCTAGTGTCCAGGAAGTCTCTCAATGCCCTTTAGAAACTCCTCCCACTGACCTATTACTAACATACTGATACGTGCTCTCTAGTTAGGGTTACATAGAGCTATACGAGGTTACATAGAGCTATACGGTTCAGAATAACTGTTCCTCACACTTATTGTACCCTTCACCATTTACAGGAGTTAAAAGTGGCCTCTGACTTAATTCAGTTCATACTCTGAAGAATCAGATTATTCTAGGTACCAATTCAAGATGCCGGTTGTCATCTTTAAAGCCCTACATGGCCGTTGGCCAGGTTATTTGACGGATCATCTTTTCACAGTTATATCTACCCAATCCACCAGAGTGGGGAGGCAGGGTATGTTATGGGCCCCCCTCAATTAAGGAGGTCCCTCTAGTGAGACCCAGAAGAAGGGCCTTCCCTGTGATGGTTCCCTCCCTGTGGAACATCATTCCTGTGAACGTCTTTGGAGATTCTCAGTCGTCCAGGTCATGGTTGTCCCAAAGGTGCTTTTTCAGGAGGCAACTGGACTTTCTTGTTTTTCTATGAAGATGTTGCGCTTCTCATCCAAGAAGCTTCTTCAGCTCTGACTAGATCCTTCCATTCCCCACCATCTAGTCAGAGCTGAAGAAGCTTCTTGGATGAGAAGCGAAACATCTTCAAAGAAAAACAAGGAAATCCAGTTGCCTCTTGGAAAAAAAGCATCTTTGGGACATTCCTGTGGACATAAGTTTGGCCCCCACCTTGACACTCTTTCAAAAGGCCCTGAAGGCATGGTTCTGCCAGCAAGCCTGGAGCCCCAGGGTGATATGGGGCCCATCAACAATTTGATATGGTTGTTGTCACCAGGGGTGTAGGCATTCATTGGGTTTTGCAATGGGGTTTTATTTCAGTAAGCCATCATGAGTGAGTTGGGCAGCCATGCAAATTTTGTTATTATAATAAAAATATAGCACAATTTACTTACAGGTTGGCCTTTTTCTCCTTTAGTGCCCATGTTTCCAGGTAGTCCCTGATAGGGGAAAAAGGGGTCACTAATATTGAAAAACAGAGTCAATAAATACATGTATGATGTCTTCTTCCTAATGTTCTGTCCCAGCCTACGTACGTCCTTGTTACTTCACAAAGACAGCCCCTCTTTTAACAGGAGACTGGAAAATTAACCCTTTTTATTTGAGTTACAGACCTGATAATTGTCCCAGAAAACAAAAGCAACAGATAGACCAGTGGTGGCGAACCTATGGCATGGGTGCCAGAGGCGGCGCTCAGAGCCCTCTCTGTGGGCACGCCTGCTGCCGCCGCCACCAGCTCGCACAGGTCCATTAGGCCACCGCTGGCGCCCAGAGTGCCAATCCCATCCAGCACAAAGGAGGCGAAGCAGCTGGCTAGCAAGCTCAAGTAGAAGCGGTAGAGCGCACCCCCATGCGCTCGCTGGCCTCTGTGTGCAGGGGCTGGTGGTGTCAGGCAGCAGCCTCCCCTGCCTCACCTTGCCCCGCAGCAATGGCATCCCCGCCCTACCCCCTGCCTCACCCCGCAGGATGCGCCACCCACCAGAGGCCCCTTGGATCTCCCCCAATCCTGCCCAGCCCCCACAGGAATCCCCCCCACGAGCAACATCAAGGTGGCCACACCCACCCTGGCCACGCCCACTCAGTCTGCCATGACCACCGCAGCCACGCCCACGCCCACCCCACCCCCGAGGACACCACAATGCTGACGCGTCCCTGGCACTTTGCGATACATAAGTGGGTTTTGGGTTGCGGTTTGGGCACTTGGTCTCTAAAAGGTTCGCCATCACTGAGATAGACCATGATCTCTTGACACTGAAGTTCTTTGCAAACAGTTGCCTCCAGCAACCAGCCCTGCCCACACATTCCCTTTTTGTTACACAGCCCCCAAGGTGTGGGTTCTCACTGCTTTCTCCTCTTCGGCCAAGAAATTCCAGTTGCCTTTTGAAAAAGCACTTTTGGGACCCAAGCCCTCTAAATTCCTCAGCCAATGCAGATTGTGAGGGATGATGGAAATCTAATATATTTGTTGGGCACCAGGCTGGGGGAGATTGTTCCATCAGCTCCAGCTCTCATTTCCTTCCTCCTTTCTACACGATTATGGGAGCCCACCCAGGATTGGATGTTCTCCTGGGATTCCTGCACAGTCCTTCACAAAGCAGGAGGATGGAGTAGGACTCAAAGAAATAAGCAAGTGGAAATGCTCTCTGGATGTAATCATATGTTGTAGGATAGGATCCTCTCTTCCTACAGCTGGACGTTGATTAAAAAACTAGCTGTACCCGGCCACGCGTTGCTGTGGCTCAGTCTGGTAAAAGCGTGTGTTGCTTTTACGTCCAACAGATGGCGCTGTTTTTCAAAAAAGCATGTTTTTACCTGTCACAGGTGTGACATCTATATAACATAGGTATATAAAAACACGCGCGTATTCGAATGCAACGTTGTGTCACAATTTCAAAGCAATCGGTGAAGAACTTTCGGAGATTTAAGATTTTGAACAAACAAACATTTACATTTTTATTTATATAAATAATAATGTAATAATATATAACAGGGGTAGTCAAACTTGGCTCTTTTATGACTCGTGGACTTCAACTCCCAGAATTCCACGAGTCATAAAAGAGCCAAGGTTGACTACCCCTGATATATAAGAAGATAGAACGGGGTGGGAATGAAAAAAATCACCATGGGCAATTGCCAGGTTTTTAGGTCCCTGGAAATCAGTAGAGCAGTGTTTCTCACCCTTGGCAGCTTGAAGAGGTGTGGACTTCAATTTCCAGAAGTCCCCAGCCAGCATGGGGAATTCTGGGAGTTGAAGTCCACACCTCTTCCAGCTGCCAAGAGGGAGAAACACACTGCAGTAGAGGATACCAATCTCTCTGCAGAATAGTTTCTTTGACCTCTTAACAGGTCGGAGATGTATCAGGAGAAGGTGCAAATCACCCTGAGATATGTTTGATCTCAATTTCATGGAAGAAAACTTACAGGGAGTCCGTGAGGGCCTTTCTCTCCAGGAGCACCAGAATGACCAGCAGCGCCCTAAGAATGTCAAGAAATTATGATATGTAAATTTCTGATGACTACTAAGGACAATATTAAGAGTTTGCTTTAATAGTATGGAAACCCATTCTCCTATTTTTAATAAGGCTTCTTCCCTCCTTCCCATTTCCTTCCTCCCTCCCTCCC